ATTAGCAGCTCCTGGGGTTTCTGTTGAAATTGGATAAAATCCCACAACTGTAGATTTACTGGCTCATTTACCAGACTAAATGCTTCAGCCAGAGGTGCCAACAACCATGGCTGTAAATAACATCCGTGTACTTTTGTTAAAGATAGTACAACAGCCACGATTAATGTTCAGTTACTGTTTGTTTTTGTTTTGCAATAACATTGCATTATTTCACCGCTGAAACAGCAGAGGTGAAAACTTCAGTCCACTAATGAGGGTCTAGCTTTTTGTTGCCTTCAGTGTTTATGGTCAGGTCACTACCCCAGGGACTGATGGTGGGTTGTATAGTTAAGTGTTGCTCTGATTGATGTATTTTGCCTCTGGCAATAAAAGGTCAATATAAATGATTAATGAGAGGAAAATGTCATGAGGGAGGGGAAAGAGAAAACAGGGTGATTAGAACCTAAACTTTCCTCTGCTCTCTCTTTTTTTCAACCTTTTACCCTCATTTTAGGATGTAAAACCCTGAGATTTAACTACACGTAAAAAAATAAGAATGTAGGTCTTTCATTAGGGAGGAGGAGGAAGATTATTCAGAATGGGCTTGAGTGTTAATCACAGCAGCAGACAGACAAATTGATTACAGATCAGCAGAGTTTCCACTCGTGATGTTTATCCCTTTTACTGTGATACCTGTTATGTGTGTTTAAATCAGTGAAGAGAGAATTCCTTGTGAGATTCCAGTAAAACTGCACGTGAGTTCAGACGACAGCTCTTTCTCTCTAATTATAAAACTTCAGCAAATCTAATGAATACCCTTATGAAAATACATTCAATGACCCGATCAGCTTGAGACATGTTTGATGCATCCCTTTAGGATGCTACTGTATGTGCGTGAGTGTCACTGATTAAACCAATAACAAGAATATTTTTGACACCACAAAAACAACCACACTTGAGTTAAATTTTAATACTCTTTATTAGATCACAAAACAATCCCCACAGATCTTTTCATTTTTGTGCAAAAAAGCTGGTCTACTTTAGCATTACTTTATAACATTCAGAGAGTATTTACATGCAGTTATTGCACAGCTGCAAAAATTATTTTTTATATGTTCAAAGAGCAGCATGAAGTCCAAATAATATAAGCTGGCAAATATTCCACAGAAACACCAGGACATACAGGATATACAGATTTGTTCTACTGTGTAATTTACATAATCATTATTGCCAGAAGTTTCTATGTACAGCCACCAAAAATCACCTTACTCTAAATATAGTAATGCTAACACATTGTTGTGAATTCGGTCATTTACACAGATATAGATGTAGTCCACATTCACACCGATTGCACTTCTTACCTTTGAATAATACTATAAACACACCTGACAGAATTACAGTTATTTACAGTTCAGCACTCTGCAGTCCTCTCAGCTTCGGTCGGGTGATGATCGGCTGAAAAGGTGGTAGCTATTTTTTTTCCTCTATGCTTTGGTTCTCCCACGGCACAGGGTCGTTTTCCTGTGTGAGTGATCCACCTTCCCTCTCGTGCCAGAACTGCTCCACATCAGGCAAGACGCTCCCATCTTTAAGACTCACGGTGTCCGCTTCCCTCCCTCCTCCTTCTGCTCCGACTTGCTCCGGCTGAGGCTGAGCCTCCCTGGTGGCTTCCTTGCTGCAGCCTGATTGAAGGCTTCTCTCCCCCCGCAGCTGACCTGAGGTCTCTGGTCTAGGACAAGGGGACTGGAGAGTGGTGGGGTTGTGGGGTCCAGGCTTAGGTGGCAGTTGCTTGCGCAGGGTGAGGCGTCTCCAAAGCCCCCTGTAACCCTCTCTGAACTCCTCGGAGAGAGAAAGGACAATGAGAGGGTTTACCAAAGACAGAGAGAAGGTGAGCAGCTGAGCAGAAAGGATAAGGAGAAGGGGAGGAGAGGAAATAAGGGGCTGAGCTCCTTCAGTTTCCTTTTCTGCAATCTGGCGCTCCCAAAGCCACACAACCCAGTGAGGAATCCAGAGGACAGCCATGGCCACAGTGAGGCTGAAAAGCATTAAAGTGAGCTTCCTGGATCTGATCTGTGTACGGAGATTCTGACTCTTACTGGAACGGCGCTGGCACTGGCCATAAGCCTTCCAGAAATACATAAGGGCAATGCTCAGAGGTGCACAGTAGACCCCCAGAGGATACGCTTTCACATACACAGACATGAAATCCTGGGCTTCAGGAGGAACCGTCATTACGCACACCAGCCCACGGATCTCTCTCTGCAGCCGAGCAAACAGCCAGTGTGGGATGGTGACAGTGCAGCCAGACAGCCATATGAAGAAGAGCACCACCAGGATGGAGCCCAGGTGTATGCTCACCTGCTTGTTTGGATTTGACACGTAGCGGTAGCAGGCTTTGGCCATGATGGCCACGGTGAAGCTCTTCACAACCATGCAGGATTGGAGAAACCAGTCGGCTGTCTTGCACACCACCCAGCCTAGATTCCAGCTCGTCTTGGAGTATGAGGCAGCCCTGAAAGGCACTGTAAACATCAGCACCAGCCCATCTGCAAACATCAGGTTGAAAATGAGGGAGTTGATGAGAGACAGTTTGCCTTTGTGCGCATTAGAGAACAGGATGACCATCGCAGTGAGATTGCAAGCCGCGCCCAGGATACAAATGACTCCCAGAATAGCTGGCACCAGGACCCTGAGCTCAGTCGTGTCCAGGTGCTGGAAGGAATCCTGTTCACTAAATGACCACATGTCTACAGAGCTGTTCACCACAGTGCTATTGGTCCCACTAAGCTTATCCATTGTTTCCAGAAGATGCTGATCTGGTCACAAGAAGATAATAAATGAATTTTAAAAAATAATTGAAGGCAGGCAGGAAATGTAGGAGAAAAATGCCCTGGGCGGAAAAAATGTCCAAAAACAATGTGACAATATATCTTGGAGTTTACACCTGTTCAAATTTAAGCACCAGAGAAGCAATGACTTCGCAGTGTACAGAGCACCTGACAGTCCTCTGGTTTATCCCCAGATGCGATGATGCAGCATCTCGAGCAAGTTATAAAGATGCTGTTTGATTGACAGCTGCTGTCCCCAGCTGGCAAAATGTGTGTAGACTACACCCACATGGGGCCAATTAGGAAAATCTCAGCACAGATGAATATACTGGATTGGTGCAAATGATTCATTAAAGTTATGGTCTTAACAGTAATCAGATTCCTTAAATAAGAGTTAAAGGTAACAGTGCCTACCCAAGGCACTACCATAAACTGTGACCTGCATTCACTAGACATCCTGACAGAGTATGTGATTTATCAATGAGGTGGTTGGGACATAATCACAAGCTTCATTTAAAATGTTTCTTTTGTTTTGTTTTTTTTCAAAATTTCATCATATATAAACAACAATAGATATTAATATTGAGCTTCCTCCAACGGGTGGCTGGCCTCTCCCTTAGAGATAGGGTGAGAAGTTCAGCCATCTGGGAGGGACTCAGAGTAGAGCCGCTGCTCTTCCACATCGAAAGGAGCCAGCTGAGGTGGTTCGGGCATCTGACAAGGATGCCTCCTGGGTTAGGTGTTCTGGGCATGTCCCACCGGGAGGAGGCCCCGGGGCAGACCCAGGACACACTGGAGAGATTATATCTCTCGGCTGGCCTGGGAATGCCTTGGTGTTCCCCCGGATAAGCTGGAGGAGGTGGCTAGGGAGAGGGTGGTCTGGGCTTCTCTGCTTAGGCTGCTGACCCGTGACCCGGCCCCGGATAAAGCGGAAGAAGATGGATGGATGGATATTAATATGAATAAACCAACCAGAACCAATCAGAAGAAGTCTCCTGTAAATGTGCTCAGATGAACAGTTTTTATAATTTTGTCTTTGTAAACCACCACAGTGAATTTGAAGTTAAACACTCATGGCATTAATTGTTTAAGAAATACAGCCCCTCATTTTCAGTGACTCAAATGTAACTTCACAGACTAACATCATTTTAATTTTAACACGTTTTAATACTTGGGTGAAATCAACGAGTGCCTGAAGTCTATCACCAAATGTTGTGTTTCCCTACCAGACCTTTCATTGCAGCCACCTTTAGTTGCTCTAGTTGCATTTTCTTACTATCAGCCTGTCACAAAAACACATAATTTGTTAGAGTTTGACATACAATCATACCAAAGATAAGTTTGAGAGGCATAAAATTATAGTTTTGCAACAACAAGATCTATTAGCTGGAAAACGTCATAGGCAAGTTGAGGACAAAAGGTAGCCAACATCCAAAGAAGAGCTTTGAATGTGTATACTACTCAAAGAAATTACAGAAAGCTTGCCTCAGGATGTTCAGACTGTGGTGAAAAATAAAGATGGTCATAGCAAATACTGATGAAATGACAACAAACAGCCTAAAATGTAGGAATATGTAGTATGAGGTGTGGTCCAGAAATTCATGTGTAGTGAATTAAAGCTGAAAATTGCATCTTGATTGATTTAAAATCCAACATAGTGATATACAGGCACAATATTACAAGTACTTATGGACCTAGCTGTAACTTTGCTTAACCTCCTAGGACCTGGCATCCACATATATGGACATCACATTTTGGGTTATTTAGACCAAAATACCAAAGACCAAAATTTTGCTCTCCTAAGGCCTGATATCCACTTACGAGGACATTATACTGCTACTGTTCTATCAAAATTGTAAACAAATATCCTTATATGTGGCTCTTATTTTTCTTAAAAACAAAAATAAGGTAAAAAAAAAAAAATCTGTTAATTCTTTGTTTTTACATTCATCAGGCCCCAATCAGCCCAAATATCAAAGAGAAATTAAAAATGCATGCTGTGGAAGAGTTCGGGTCTTAGGAGGTTGAGGAAAATCCCATTTCATCAGCTGGACTGCCTTTATTTGTCTTAATTTTTGTCCACACGAGGGCGCCCTAACACCACAAGCAGAAACGGTCTTAGCCCATAAAACGTCTTACATAAAGTTTGATAATTGATTCAGCAGGTGTTAACAGAGAAAGTCCACCAGTGCATGATTTGAACTTGCACATCTTTATTCTTTTTTTTATTCAAAAAAAAGTCCAGTAAGCATAAAGACTGCATGGTATTTCATTGCATTTCAATACATTCTGAGCTATAAAAGTCTTTTTTTTTTCAATTAGAGTGTCACAAAGGAGGTTGTTTAGAAGACATTACTGTTTAAAGGAATCACACTTAATTATTCCCTGATTTCACAGAGTTCACTTAGACCTTTGACTGCTTTGCTTTACGGGAGTTGGCCGGTAAGAGCCGAGTGCTGAAAGACAATCTGCTACTGTTCCATGTTACCCATTTTCAGCTTGATGAGAAACATGGAAAGGCATTGCAGCAATCTAATATTTATATAAAAAAAACTGAATAGTGCCCCAGATGATCTGCAGATGTACAAATATAGCTATACGCAGGCTGTCAGCTTCATCAGAATCAGATCCAACGCATGCAAAGAAAAAAAAAAGCTATGCTAGCATTGTTAGGCCAAGAAAATCTCAAGTTTTAAATTCAATATGTCAACACGATGAGTCGACCAATCTACAGTCTACAGATCATTTTTAGTACTATCCAAATAAAGAGAAAATGTGGCAAGAAATTTAGAAATGAATGTGACTTTGTTTGTGTCTCTTGCAAACTGACAACATCAGACTGACTTGCAAGGTGAGAGCAACAATTACTTTGTACATATCACAGCATTCTCCCCTGAGCTCACAAGCATGAAACCAGTGCTCTAATGTAGAATTGTGACTACATTGATTCAAGCACTTTTTCTACTTGGGACCTGTGTGGAGCTTTTTTTGTGTGTGTTTGTTTATTTAGAGAGAAAGAAAGAAAGAAAAAGAACAAAAAAAAATCCTAAGTTAACATTTCATTTGAAACATTCACACACTCCCTCCTTGTAGCCATTACCCCTCCTCCCCACCCGACCCTCCCCTCCCCTCCCTTCCACTACATCGAACCCCCACATACCAAAAGAAGGCACCACAGCTTCTAAATAGACTCATTGACCGAGAGAAGGACTCAACAAAAACAAAAAGCGTTAAATAAAACCCAATGACACAGCCTGGAAGGGCTTCATTCACATTACAGACTACAGCAGTCTCACAAGGAGACACGAGATTGGTACTAGAAAGACTGTCTGTGTTGTGTCACAGGCAGCGAGAACTCAGTTTCTGCGGGTCAGAGATTAACAGTCTTTTCCTCTTCTGCAGCACATTGCGCTGTTCAGGAATTTTGCCTCACGTAGAGGCTGCAGGGTTGATCACATGCATTGCAGCATGAGAAGACCGAAAGACAGGGGGCACTGTTGCTACATGACAGTGAGCCACCATCACGTAGGCCTGGTTTCTGTCAGTGTGCTCTATTTTCTGTTCATTGTGCCCACATCTGCCTCTGTCCTTAGGGTCCAGAGTGCTGCTACGTCATAATGTGATGGTAGCAATCCTCTTGTTGCATAAACGCATGGGAAACAATTCTTCGGGTGTCCGCATGGCTAAATAAATTAAATTATAAGTCAAATTGAAGAAGTTCATTCTTGATTTCAAGGAATCAAGTTGTTGCTTCCTAAAACATGTGCTGTCCACTTCCCCCACTTTAGTCACTGGATACTTTTACCCTGGTCGTCATCAGCAGAGTCGGGGAATTCAAGACAGCAGCCCCTTACAGGTGCAGGGTCAGGGGTCAGCAGGGGGCAGGCTGCCCTTTAGTTGACCTTGTCCTGAAAGATGTATAGGTTGTTGGTGGCTGCTACAGCAATGATGTTTTCATGTGGGTGCCACGTCGTGTGAAGGATCTTCTTGCTGAAGTCAAGGCTGTCGACGCTGATCTCATCCTTACGCCGCTTCCCACCTACACACACCTGGAGGACAACAACAAAAATGAAGAGGCATTAAGAAGTGGGAGTGTGGCAGCTCGCACGTTTCACTGATGTCAGTCATTTGAAAGATGACGGGGTGGGTGGGGTGCTGACTAGGCTTGTAGCTGGCGTCAATGGCGTCACTGAGCTGGACCTCTAAACCGTGTTGGTGCTAAGCATTAAGAGGCCCATGCTCCAGTTTTGGTGAGTTAAAAGTCTGGCTGTATTTATTAGGTATCTGTGTCTGCGAGATATAAATGGATGCATCTTGATAACGAGCCAAGCTAGTGTTAGCTGATAGCTTTGCACCCTTCCAGATATGGTCAGTTTGGTTCAAAAACCTCTAATGGTGATAGCCAAAATGCTAAAAATAGGACTTAAAAAGGGCTATTACCAACATTTGTTTCAGGTTTGGTCACTTTACAAAGTTGATATAAGATTGAGTTAGCAAATTAGCTAGCCCCATAGCTAGCTGGTATATAATGATGTGCTACGTGATCGCTAGCATGACAAAGCTATGTTAACATAACATAAACAGTAAAGCTGGAGGGCAAACGCTAACAAACGGAGGACTTTTTTCCACACGATAAAAGTTAACATAAGGGTTCCCAATGGTTAGGGGCAAATGCAATTGCATGGCAGAAGACATTACTGTAAACTGACCAAACGTCAGTCAGGAGAACCACCTAGATAATCCATTCACAATACAAGGTTAGTCATTAATATACTGCTGCACGGGCTGAGCTGTAGTTACATCGTAAGGGTTTAAAAACTGAGCTTTAAAGTGATTAGCAGTAATAAAAACCGAGAGAAGCTGACAGTGATCACTGACTGTTTTTAGGGGCTTGTTGAGATTAAATAGAACAAGATACAAAGCATTAAAACATGTTAAAACACATGACAGCCTTATTAAATGCAGACTACTTTGGGCCCGGAAGCAGTATTCATCACGTCATCACTTAAAGACCGGATTACTGCAGTTTGAAACATAAGACTGCACTGTGTACATATACTAAACACATTTCTTTTGTTCATTTGTGTGTTGTATTCAGTCATGATTGTCACTGTTAAGTCAGGTCTGTTTTGATATTGAATTTCTGGACTTGTACAGCAGATTTCTAGTGAGGACATTTTTATCAAAGTTACAGAATATAAGGAGGGGAAGTGAATTGTTTTTAGTGACACCATTACTTTAAAATCTCAAAACCCACTGGTCACAAAAACTGCTGGTATTTACTTAATCCTTTTTTTTTTTTGTCATAAATGAATATCATAGATGAACTCAAAGACATCTGGAGGTGCCACTTTCAATCAGTGAAAATTACAGCAGGAAATTTCACTATTGACCAGCTTTTTATAGATATTCAATAAATCATTTGGCTTAGGAAATAATTGACAAATTAATCGATTATGACAATCATTGCTTAAACCCTGAACTAATTACATTATCAATGAGTCTGTCAATGATTGCCTCTGATACTTTGGTGAAAACATGTCAGAAAATAGTGAAAATAATGTCAATCACAGGTTTCCAAATTAACAAATTGAATACTTTTGCTTGACAAATCAAAAGATATTAACTGTCACAGATCCACACAATCCAGCAAGAATCACAATTTTGGAGAACCAGTGAATAATTAGCATTTCTCCATTAGAAACTCACTTGCGGTGAGGCATTATAAGACTAAAACCAGATGTCTTTGAATTTAAAAAGGATAACTTGTGTTGGTGATGGTACCTTGCGAGGCTTCAGAATAGCTCTGGGTTTGCTGTTCTCTCTGGATGCTTCCAGTGTGACATCGCGTTTGGTATTTCGGTCGAACATTCGGAAAAAATTGTTGTAAGAGCCGGTCATTATGACGCTGAGGAGGGAAAAAAGAAGAGAGGGGGTGTTATCGAGAGGGGTGGCTGGATGGACCGAGCGGTTGGTAGATCTGGTCGATGGCGGCGCTGAAAAGAAGTCTCACCTGTCTGATCCATTCCAGACGCACTCAAACTTGTCAAAGATGCAGTCGTTTTCGTACAGAGAACACAGCTTACCCCGTAAATAGTCGTGAACCTGAAGAACAAAACCAAAAACATGACAATCTGCAGTACTTTTTGGATCAGTCTTTATAGGCCTTTGGAGTTCTTCGCATTGCCTTTTAGTGGGCAAACACACCGAAACCATAAGCTGCACCACCATATGCTCTGCTTTCAGTAATCCCTCAAGACCTGGTGACCTGTGCTAAGATGCTAGGTAGCAGGTGGAGGCTGAGGTGGAACTGGACAGAGAATCCCTTGAGCCCGGTTGATGGCCTTATCAATCATGATCTGCCCTAAGATGGCTTCCCCTGATCAGACAGCGTGGACGTGACTGCCGTGACCACACAGTGGGAGGTTCTGCCCTCTGGGTTCCATCAGCCCCTATACTATCCGTCTTCTTACGGACATTCAGCTCAATAAGCCCTCCTGGGGTAATTGCTACACATGACACTGTTACAGATTGGCAGGGTGACAGTGAAACAGGATTATATTGAGTGATAAGCCTGAAATCAATAAGTTTTGATTTGATCTGGGCACAGCGGTTATTTACTAACTTCAGCAGCGGAACATTTTCTTTGGAGCCCTCAAGCTATCCAAAAAGCACACGAGAGAACAATGAAAAGCGTACCTGGTACGTCTCGAGCGGCTTGTTCTCCATTTGAAGGTCCCACACCTTTACAGTGAGGTAGTCTCTTGTCATCAGGTAGCGTCCGCTGTGGCTGAACTTCACGTCAGAGATGGATGAGATGATTTCAGAGAAGAAGGAGCGAGTGGATGGATCCTCTGGCTCCTCAAAGTCTACATGTAAAAGAAAATGTATAAAGCAGTTATCTTTCAACAGAAGATTTTACACTGTTGGTGCTCGCTGCTTTAAAGACTTTAAATCGCTTCAAGGAGGAAGATTCGGTTTGGGCAGTGGAGGCTGCTATTAGAAAACAATGACAGCCACGACAATGCCTGGATGCTGAGTTTTCTGCAGCAGCTGCATCTCCTCACAGAATTACATGTGTGTTTAGGGAGATAGTTGTGGGTCAGCATGGTGGGTAAATATTGGTTATGATTCATATTGATTTTGGCAGCTGCTGTTCCGTGTGTAGGCCAGCACGCTGGGGATAACAGACAGGCATTCCATCGTTAGCTGTCAAGTTATTGTTCCTCCTCCTCCTCCTCCTCTTTTCCTCCCACCCTTCCTACCCTCTCTCTCTCTCTCTTTAAAAAAAAAACCAAAAAAAAAAAATTCCCCCACCATTCTCCCCCCACTTCCACTCAATCCCACTCCTCAGCTGAGGCCTGGAGAATAGCTCTGTGATGTGTCAGTGGGGAGTCTAACTAGGGATGCAGTGTGAGAGATGAAAAAAAATGGGGGGATGAGGAAGGGATAAGAAAAACAAATCAATGTCAAAGTGCTGGGTCCATATGAGCCCTGCTGGATTTGTATGTGCGCGCGCCAGCGAATGCGTGCGAATAAGAGCAAGTGTAATGTGTGCATGTATATATGCATGTGTTATGTGTGCCCCTGCCCTCCCTCCCATCCAGATCCACGGGTGGATAATAGGGTCCCCGGGGAGTCAGCAGGGGGGCTGTTTGGTCCCTCTCTCTATTTGTCCTGGGGCTCAGCTCACTGGCAATCCTCGGCGGCCATTCATCCTTCCTGTAAAACTGACTGATAGCAGCGTGCTCCAGAATTTATTTATTTATATATATATATATATATATATATATATATATATATATATATATATATATATATATATATATATATATATATATATATATATATATATATATCCTTCTATATAGAAGGAGATACACTATGATTGTGACTTTGTGTTGTGTGTGTATCACAAAAAGGAGGAGTGGTGTGTGAGTGCAGGAGAGAAGGCTTTACATTGCTCTGAGCCGTAAACGTTAATGCAGTGAGACAGTAGGTTGGTATTAACAGACCTCTCCTGAGGCTAACAAGAGCACCTGCCTGCTTTGCCTGTGTGTGTTTGCTACAAGCACCTGTCTAGGAATGGCACACACATGCCAAACAATCAGAGTATAAAGCCGACAACTTCAACTGCCCAATGTCTCCAAATGTAAACATTTTTTTTCCAGCTCTCATGTGATGCTCATGTGAAATTCAACAGGCCGTGTTGGTGCTGGGTCCAGTGGATCCATCAATACGTCTGAGGAAATGAGTGACATTATTGAACAACAGGGTGTGTCCATGAGGGACTAATGCGATTGCTCTTAAGCCATTGATTTCCCAGCAAAAATGTCAATGTATTCATTATTCATTCAGCTAAAGTGTATCCATGTGATGTCAAGCTTCGGAGAAGGCCATTCATTGTTTGAGACGCGCTACAAGATTTATTCGTGTGTTATCAATCGTGGCATATTGAGCAGGGGAAGCCCACATGTCACAGCTGAAAAAAAAAGGTGGAGCTGAGTGTGAATTTACAGCCAAGGTGTGGAATATTGGAATCGGGCTATATTTCCCTTGTTGACTACCATCACCTCAATGGCATCGATGGAAATTGTTGATTTTTGCGGTTTTGCGTCCCGTGAATTTTGCAGTTCTCCAGTATCTAAATTTTGTCTGCCTTAAAGGAATAAATTAATACAATAGAACAAAGGTGTTCAGTATTTCAGTGAACCTTTAAAGAATTGTGGCTAGATAAAAACAGCCACGTTTCTGGTAGGTCTACCTGAACACTAAGACACTTATTAAATCTGCTCCCATGATGCTCTAGTACTCACATTTGCAGTGCTTGTCGCAGAGTGCGGCTTGTCTCATGTCACAGAGGCGTATTGAACCTTTGCTGCTACTGTAGGCAAAGGTGTTACACTCCTGCGGGTGGAACTCTGCAGAGGTGATTACTTCCGTCAGCTCCTCCATGTTGGCTGGTTTGATGTCCACAATGTCTGAGAGAGAACCGCTAAGGAACAGAAGACTACAGTGGACATGTAACCCACAGAGTAAAATGAAAAATCGTGCCACTACTGAAATGCAGCCCTGGAAAAAAATACATATTTTATGTACAAACTGTTACTAACAATGATTTTTTAGAACCTCAAATCTATTTATCACCCTATCATTATTATCATTATTAATTAAAAAGAATTAAGTGTGATTTTGAGTGTTTTTTTCTTCTCTTTTTTGTCTTTTTTAAAAATGAAAACAATGATAATCATAGGAAAAAAAAAAAAAAAAAACAGAACAGAACAAGAGGATACTGAAGCTGCGGTCGGTGATCTCCAGGTTCCACAGGTTTATCCGAAGGTCATCGGTGGAGATGAAGGTCTGAAGGTCGGAGTTGACAGAGATGGAGTTGATGTGGTAGGTATGGGCGTTGCTGAACACCCGTCTGGCTGTAGCCTCGACCATCAAATCCATAGGCTGAAGCACCGGCACCTGGAGTGAACATTTAAGGGAAAATGTAAAGTAATGCAGACAAATATGCAAGAATAGAAAAATCAGCTTGAGGTTTTTGAGGGTAGTAATTACTAGGCTGGCCTTCTGTGAGTGTATCTGTGTCTATACTTGTGTCGGTGTGTGTGATTGTCCAGATATTTTAGTGAGGACCATTTGGGCAGTTTTTTGTGTGTCTGTGTGTGAGGCACAATCGGATGACTCCGGGGATTTATTTGACATTTACTCCGCAAATCTTAATGACACAGAAGCTCAAGGGCTGCTTGATGAGTTGGTTCAATCAGACCGCAAATATCTCTCTGCTACACAGCTACCCAGTAATCACGCCTCCTTCTCTTTCTCCAAGTCACTCCTGCTTTCTTGTTTGTGTGTGTGTGTCATGGAGAAAGAGAAAATGGAGAGAAATCGAAGGAGGTGGAAAAAAAGACATGGCCCGAGGGCATCGGCAGGCTCTGCTGAGGAATGATAACTGAACTCTGCAGAATTAAGACAAGCTTGCACAGACACACACACACACACGCAGACACACAAGAACCCAGAGTTGCACATTGCTGCTCGGGCTTCAAAGAAGCCCAGTACCAGTCTGCATGCAGCCCCCCGTTGGCCAGATAAAACCCAGACAAAGAGAAGAGAGGGGAGGGAGCGAGGAGAACAAATCGGCTGCTTCTTCCCTTTTTCTCTCGTCCGTTGCTGGCACTGACAGAGACATGGCAGCCCAGCAGGCTGCTGTATCTCCGTGGATGTCACTTTATTTCCATGTCTTTCACTGGCTGTCCAGAGAGACACAGAACATATTAACCCATAACCCCCGAACACTGACAGTTGTGCCGTTCAGCTTGCCCCTTGCAGATTCGCTGTGATCTGATTGTCTTTGTAACATAATATATTTATACATTTCTGCCTTAAAAATAATACTTCAAAGTAAATCAGTAGGTTATAATGTTTTATATATGTCTTTATGAGATACTGAATGATAAACTTTAAATCATTGTATGAATTCTAGGATGAATATTAGTGAATTCCTCCCTCTCCTCCTCTGCTTTCTCCCCCTGCTGAGATTTCACAGCCTCTAAACAGGATTGCCACAGTCCCGGCCTGTCCTCCAGGTTGCTATGATCCCCTGGCCAGCCAGACAAAGAGGGACAGACACGCTGAACACAGCACTAATCTGCAATGGCAGACACACACAGACACAATCCTGTGTGTCTGTGTGTGCCCTCTTTTGTGTGAAAATTAAATAGGTAGCGGAGTGATAAAAACGAGAGAGAGAGAGAGGATGATCCCTTCACGGTGTTCATCTCAGCGCACATATTGATCGCTCATTCTCAATTTCTTCTGCCAGAAGTTCAAAAGAGTCCAAAGATAGCAGGTTGCTTTGTTGGTGTCAGACTCTCATTTATCGGGACTGAAACTGATCACAAATGAAAAAACAACTGTGACACACACAGGCGTGCAGCATATGTCACTAAGAAGTTTATGCTGGATTAAAGGCTATCATAGCATAAAAGGCTGAATGCTAAATTTTGACTTAATCAGCTTAACTGAACTCTGCTTGCTTGGATTCCATGTGCAGGTCTTTCCAGAAACGCTGGTTCATTCAAAATACGTGAGCCTGGGTTACAAGCAGCAGTTGTGGGATCTGTAAAACAGGAATCTACCAAAAGGTTAAATGAAAGATGCTACTGCTAGGTGATGCTTTTAATTTCGTTTTTAAACTGAGCACCACAAATATTCTTAAATATTTCTGATATCCATGCATAAATAAATAGTTCTCCATCCATCTACCCTCTATCTGTTATCTGGGTCATGGGGGGCGCTGGAGCCTATCTCAGCCTCCACAGAGCACAAATATTCTTCATTTTTGTTATTTATGGATATAGTGGCAGTAAGTTGTCATGTTTTACTTTTTTCTATAGTAGTTTTTTCAGTCTTAAGCCACCCGGACCACTGATGCATGGCTTCAAATATTTCATTTTTGTCAGATTTATCGCAGTCTCGTTGGGTCATCCAGCCTCCCCTCAAATAGAAAATCTGTGGTTTTTAGTGACAGAGAATAAAAACTCTGCCATCACTGACTCTAATTTTCACGTCCATAAATTGCAGTCCATTTCATTGTAGACTAATTCAAAGTAGTGCCATCGATGCAATGTTTTCATTCCACTCAAATGTTGTGCACTGTCTAATAAAGTGAGTGTAATCTAGTCGCAGCCTATTTTCACCGCAGTGTATGTGACATCATGGGTGTTGTGACATTCAACAGTTTCACATACCCGTAGAGTGGTGATGGTGGATGGGTCTCGGATCCGTCCGTCCTCATCCTTCAGGTTGTAGCCTTCAGGGCGCTTATCCCTCTCACTGATCTTCCACAGCTTCACTGTCTTGTCTGAGGTGGACACGTCACACAGGCGCACAGACATACACAAAATACAGTTAGATCACGGCTCAGCAGAGTGAATCTCAGATACAAGATGGATGCGGGGGGCTGGGGATACAATCTGGCAAGTAGCTGGGCAGAAGCCAGCAAGGATGATGAATGGCGACTCCTGCGTAGATTCTGATGTCACCGATATCAATCTACAAGTTGACTTAATTTCCCTGCTGCTGTTTATACCCTCGCCCCTCCCCTCCCACACCCTGGAAAAGCCATCTGGGTTGCTTTTCAATTTTTGCATCATATAAACATCGGTTACATCTCATCTTCTCGGTCTACTGAAGTGGATGGCAGCCGCAGTCAGGTTGTCTGCTTTTTTTTTTTTTCCTCTCCCCTCTTAATTTCCGCTGCGATGCCGGTGTCAGAGCAGCGAGGCCATCGCCACAGGACTCTCCACCATCTGCTCCAGCCACCGCAAGCACGTCTGTAGCAGCCATGCGTGAAGCCCACAATCTGCAAGACGTCTCTCAGCTGATGTGTGTACTTGTCTGCTGTGGCTCTCGTACATGTACGGCGTGTGTGGTGGCACATGCCTTAATATGTGGCCCTGCTGTGACAGCCATGCATGAAGCCCTTAATCTGAAACTCTTCTGCAGGTGACACTTGCTCACCCAAGCAAAACAAGCAACACTGTGTTCTCCCAAAAAGTCAAAAAGACACTGTCAAGTGATATTCATCACACCTCCTTTTACATCAACTGCAAATCTGAGCATTCTGCAAAGTGACGAATGAATCATTTTGCACAGTACCTGACTAATAACACTAGCTCACATGTAAACATACTCCAGTGTAGGGCTGGGAGATATGGCCTAAAATCCCTATCGCGGTATAATTTGAAGCACGTGCAGTAACGATATATATCGCGATATATTATTTTCTTCTGTATAAGGTATTTTCCACACTATAAGGCACACTTAAAATCCTTTAATTTTCTCAAAAATCGAGAGTGTGCTTTATGTATGAATTCTGGTTGTGCTTACTGACCTCGAACCGATTTTGGCGTGCAGAAATCTGTTAAAAAATGTTTTAGTACAACTTTGGTAAGCCACACTGCTTGATGAATTGTCAGAGCATTACGGCTGCCGTAGTGAGGAGCTTCGCGGAGTAATCTGGGTCCAAAACTCCGTCCTCTTCAGGTCCCAAAGTCAAACGAACACAGAGTTAAAAACGGTCTAAATTCTTTCATCTTTAATAAAATCATCAGCGATGCTGCTTTACCAGGTGTAACAATTAAGTTTAACATCCAGGCATCCATGAAAACAGAATTTATTAAATTTAACGGAGTTAGAAGTTAACAGGAAGTTAGCTCGCTAGTTTCCACCTAAACATGATATACCATGTTCTGACTGAGAGATTTTTGAAACTAATTCAAACGTACAGCTCTGCTACCACTTCCAACATAAATGAAGACAGAAAACTAAACAGCATTGGTGTTTGCAAGGTTACTGAAGTAGGACTACCTGGTATATAATGTTGTGCTACGTGATTGCTAGCGACACAGCTATGTTAGCATAACATTAGCGCAGTGAAGCTGGGGAATGAACGCCAACTTTTTTCCATTCGATAAAAGTTAACGTGAGGGATTCTGGTGGTTAGGGACAAATGCAATAGCTGCGATGCTTTCGACCAAAACAGGCGCTGCTTGATGACGTCATCAACATGCGCTATCACGATAGAGCGGTGTAGTCAAAATCTTTATCGTTGGCCAAATTTATATCGTTTCTATCGTATATCGTTTCTATCGCCCACCCCTACTCCAGTGATAGATTATTGGTTCTTTTGACCATTCTGATAGTTGTGCTGCTCTTACAGCACCTTAGGTGTACTGACCGTTGGTGGAAAGCAGGAAATATGCTGCATTCTGCTGAGGAAGCCATTTGATCTTGTTGATCTTCTCCTCAATCTCCAAACTCTTCAGGTAGTCAAACTCTGGCTCATGGCTCTGGAATGTGCTGTAAACATTGTACTCCCCACGACGCTGGGGCTGACTCTTACTCTGCAGAGGAAGAAAAAAAAAGAAAGTGAAGCACAGGTAGACTTTGTTTTTTTTGGTGAAAGTTTCATTAGATTCCCGTGATTATAAGACAGGTGTAAATGATTCAATATTAGATCTAGCATTTTGGAAAAGATGTAATTTATCTTTAATTTATCTTAAATTCCCCCTTAGGAAGCTTACTACCAATAATAATAATGCATTTTATTTAAAAGCACCTTTCAAGACACCCAAGGACACTTGAAAATAGAATAAAATACATAGTAGAACAATGACAAAACGTAATAAAACACTTTAGTCAAGCTTTGCATTTGGGGATCTCCTCTCCTAATTCTGGTTTGACACAATTACATCAAGCCCCTACCTCCACGGATGAAAAGTAAAAGTTACATGGAAATGATATCTCGTTCTGAGGCTGCGAGATAAGGGTTTTGGGGGGGTCACCATCTTGTTTGGAAAAATGAGATATGACCAGGAGGGGCAGGTCATTCACTGGCTAACAACTTGTGACTGAAACAACAACAGTTGTTAGCCAATGAGCTAACGGGTAGATAAAATAATTTACAAAAAAAGACTTAATTTTTATGCCGTATGACCCATAATATGAACCATAAACGCAGCAGGTAAGTGTTTAGCATTTCCCATATGTAGGAAAATGGGAAAATATAGGATCAGAAGTCTTTTATGCAACCACAGCCATTGGCATTTGGTGGCCCTCAGACAGTATGCAGGATAGGTTTAAGGAACTTCCGCGAAGACTTCATTTCCCGACCTGGAAGCTATACTTTTTTTTTAGTAATATTAAAATGTTAATACCACAGGAAAAATTAATGAGCGATTTCATGGTGGCCACATCCATTTTTTTATACAGTCTATGATATATTTACATAGATTCTGGAATATTATATGTTGAGTAACAGAACAGACTAGATTTTCGAATTGGGGCTTTCAACAGTACTTTTGTGCCACATTGTTACATGTCTTCATAATGTTGGTCCAACAAAAGCTTTTTGTTTTTTAGCATATTTACAGCTGTCCTTTTGAAATACATCCTCTTGCTTGCTAGTTATCAAAAAAACAAACAATCCAATGTTAATGCTTTAAGGCTGTCAAATCCTTTTCAGCTGAAGGACAGCATAATTATCACTGCATTGTTGGCATTTCCTACCTCCTGCTCCCTTTGGAAGACAACCACTCTACCTCCTTTATCCCCAGTGGCCAACAGCTCCCCCGATGAGTTAAACTCCACCGTTGAGATAATGTCAGCTGCAACACAGGAAGCAGAGCAGACAGGGGGAGAAAATGTCAGTGTGAACAAACCTGTCAAGTATCTGACAGAAAAAAGGAAACACTTTTTCAATGGGATCTTCTAGAAAACACTTCAGGAGAAAAGGGAGGGGAATCTCATGACAGTCCCACAGAGGACTCCTCGGTGCAGACAGCCCAGTTTGGAGGAAATATAGGTTAGGAGAAACCACTGGATGAGTCACTGCATGATAATTGAGACTCTTGTCTGATTGAAGTGAGCCAATCTGTGTTATTTAATTGCACTTCTGCTTATTAGAGGACTCTGCCGCCGCACTCTTGCTCATCACAAAACACATTCAAAAAGCTTTAATGTGTTTTAGCAACATCAGTTATCAGTTGCCTGTATTTTACATTTTGAAGCATCTCTGCATAGCTACAGGTTCACCAGAAAGTAAATATCGGACACCTACCCTTAAGGTAGGTTTTCCTCTCCTCAAAGACATACAACTGCCTGAATTTAGGAAAGGCTAATGGTGACTGTAATTACGTATTATACAGCCCAGGGATAAATTGTCATATCATAAAGTCTGTCTCTCACACACACACACACACACACACACACACACACACACACACACACACACACACACACACACCACAGCAGAGGCTAGCCCGGTTTTAAACAGTGACAATAATATTAGACAGAGAGAAAGAGAGAGAGCGCTTGTTGTTTTGTACCCCCCACGCCCTCTGTGGACCTGCTGCTGGTGGAGCTCTGAACAGGAGAGGGGAATGTTGCTATGGAGACCGTTTCCATCTCTAGCGGCAGTCAGAGAGAGCGAGAGAGAGAGAGAGAGTGTATGTGTGTGTCAATAGCTCTCTGACTTAGTTGCTGATGCTAGCTGTAATTCAGCAGACAGTGAGAGAGAGAGAGAGAGAGAGAGAGAGAGAGAGAGAGAGAGAGAGAGAGAGAGAGAGAGAGAGAGAGAGAGAGAGAGAGAGAGAGAGAGAGAGAACGAGTTCAGTTCAATGCAGCACACAAGTTCAGACAATAGAGTCCCCATAGACGGACTCATCGCTTCACAAAAACCTGTCGTGCATGGTGGAAATGACCATGCATCCTGTCTGTGTGTATACTGTGAATCTGGCTCTGTCCTCCTCCAGTTTTAATTTAAATGTTAGAGAAAGTCACAGATGAGGCCAGAGGGATTCTTACGAGCACGTGTTGATAATGACATGATGTAGGAGGGCAAAACTAATTATATTTGAATGAAGAAATAATGACCTTTCACAGAGAAGACAAAGTCTGACCTAATTGCAGCCTGGGAGAACCCTTCAATGCACCATGCTGGTGTTGCATGTACTGTAGCAACACATGCTAAAGGCGCTCTGTAAATGCATTTGTACACCTCATACATGTAGTGCATGTATGAGGTCTCTCTCTCTCTCACACACACACACACACACACACACACACACACACACACACACAGTAATGTCTTCCAGTACCACCAGGCCAAAGTCACTCATGTGAATCAAATGGAATCGGCTTAGCATTCAGCATTCTTTAATCAAAGCTGGTTTCGCCCTTTTTTGCCCTTCTCCTCTCTGTTTCTGCCCCCTCCCCATCCCCCCCCACTGCCTCTCTTCTTTTCCCTTCCCTCATCATCATCATCCACACATTAAGTCACTGAGGGGAAACAGTAATTGATGGATGCTATTTAACAAGTTTACACACGAATACATCCTTCAATCATCTCTTTGAATGATCAACCAGGCAGAGCCAGTGGAGCTGAAACACACGCTAACGTGATGGAATGCTCCCTTAAATGAGTTTTTTTTTTCTTTCATGCAAATGATTTCAGACCAGACATGACTTGTAATTGCGTTTGTGAATGGCAAACATCTTCTTCAAATGAAACTTTATGACAATAGAAAAATAAATTCGCAGCACTGTCACAGGTGGGCAGAGTGTCTCAAATGATTTCTGCTGTTGTCAGTTGTTACATGACCAAGATGACTTGAATTAGAGGGAAGCCAGACACTGGACTGATCAAATGCTTACTTGGATGGACACACACACACACACACACACACACTTTCTCTCTCTCTAACACACACACACACACACACACACACACACACACACACACACACACACACACACACACACACACACACACACACACACACACACACACACACACACACACACAACCAGATGAAGCCTATAAATCCTGTGGCCAGCCAGGTCTGACAAAGACAGGTCAGCGCTTCCTGATGCATCAGAGGGATGCTTGAGATAACACACATCCATCACCAGTAATAACTCAGACGAGCCTGCTGGCCTGCTGCTCAGATGTCTACATGGAAGACTGAATTAAAACAGGCATGGCACAGTTCTTATCTGCTTCTATCCAACAATCTGACCCCCAATAACCCCTTCACTGTGCAATATAGAATTGGCAATCAGACCAGCTGGATGGAAACATAGATATGCATCGATTCTGGAATGAAAACCCCGTACGAAGAGCCAGAGACACAGGAAAACCAGGAAGGGAGGGAGAATATTGAGTTTATTTATAGAGGCCTGTGCACAGCACACCACCCAAAAGAGAGAGGTGCCACTAAATGCAATCACAGAGAAAGGAAAGGTCTGGGGAGAGAAGTCGGTTTCTCAAAATAGCTCAATAAAAGCTTGTACAGCAAGATTCACTGGCACAGACACCGGCAGAGACCAAAAATAAGAGTGCCCTGCCTAACCTCTAGACAACGCATAATCCTGTCAGGAGCTAAGGCAACAAGAAAGCAAATTGACGTTGATCTCGTGGCACTGCGGAGTTGTGTAAGACACAAAGACTTGAAAAAGGTGTGCCTGAATAGAAAGCAAGTTGCATAAGGGGTGTGCAGTATTTCCAGGTAGAAGGAGGGACGTGAGCAACCTGGTGCTGTGCAAAAGCTTTGTTAGAGGTAGAGGGGAAAGGATTACAGCACTTGTGCTGAGCTGCCTGCGTCAAAGGATCAAGCCGGAGGATAATTCAAGTCTGTTCTCACACTCCCTTTCACCTGCCAGTCTTGTTCCCTCAATGACAATTAACAAATGTGTCTTTAGTGCCATTCTTCCTAGGGAATGAATAAACACACGCTAGTATTACATGCTCTGGAAATGGAGACCATTCATGTGCTGAACAAGCAGCTGATAATAACTTCAATTCACACCACCAACAATAGAGATCAATCACATTTTTGAATAAACCCCACTACCTACTGGTCCGGTACCCCGTCAGATGATTAAGGGTTTATTCAACTCGATTACCTTCACATAAAGCAACAGAGCACAATGCAGGTCTCCTCATCAGAAGAGAATGACTCTTTGTAAGATCTGGAGTGAACAAGCTAATTAACCTGGTTTCTCCAGGATCAGCCCCATGAGACTGAGACAGGGTGTGTGTATTTTGTGTTCCTTTTTCTTGCATGTGTGTGTGTGGATTCTTTTGTGCATGTATCTTTGTGTGTGTGCATGTGTGATTTTTTTTTGTATCCCCACACTCCAGGGAGTTGAGGGTGAAATGGGCAAGACGTGATACTGCTTCTCTTCTCACACTTCATTAACACATCGCCGTGGTACACATCTGACTATAGACACAACACGAGGCAAAAATGGAGCAGAGGAAGAGGGGATAGAGGAACCAGCATTCATCCCCTGCAGGCCCTAAGCTGAATACCAAGAAGAGTGATTTCAAATTCTTGTTATTTGGTATTCTTTTAGAAATTGAAAATAGAGAGCAGGGGGGATGGTAGGAAAGCGAGGATGCGCAGTATTATAATCCCCCACCAAAAACAAAAGCTGACACTCACGCTCGATCTGTCTGCCTGCGATGCTTTGGTGAAATCCCTTTCATCTTCCTGTTTCCATCAAAGATTAGATGGCTGCTGTACAGACTAAAACCTTACATTTATTAGTGACCTTATCACCAGCACATGTAGCATTCTGAGTGGCGCTGCTTCCTCGACAGGACACGGGAATTAGCTATCAAAACTTACAAATATATCCCATTATAAAATCCCAGAAAGGTCAAGAACTGCTTAGCCTTGAGGCTAGCTGCACCCCGAATGACTCACACACAGTACGTCTATTCCAGTGCTAACTCATCTACTGACCAGGAAGCCATATCACAGTAGAAAAATAGGACATTTTTGTCATCGTCCTACAGTAGCAACACCACGGGTATTCTTTAATAAATTCTCATTAAATTTTCATGGTGCTTCAGACTTAATAAGAAGCTAATCAGGGGATGAAAGCAGCTGCTGAATAAGGAGTGCGACTCGCCCCAACTTCACAGCTTGCCATTAAGCCTCCGCTACCCCCCTCACCATCTCCATACATGTACATGCACAGTCTTTCTTGCACTATGTGGCGAGGCGGGGCGAGGCGTTTTGAGTGCTTCATAGTAAATAATGGATGGGACCTGAGGGTATGGTGGGCTAAGTCTTTTTATGCCGGGGTCCTAAAGTGTGGCCCCAGGCCGTTTGCCTTGGCACAGCCGACAGAGCTCTGGCTCTGTTCTCAGCAGCAGCGGCGGCAGCAATAAAGGCTGTGAGCCCTCTGTAGTGGGACTGCATCAGTATTCAGTGGGGCTAGAGAGGTCACATCACACACAAGCTTGTATCAGACAGATGTATAACAGCAAAGCAAAGAGCAAGAGGTAGAATGTGAAGAAGAGGGGGGGGGCAGGGGAGAGAAAGAGGAAGGGATTACATATCCGACCAGTTGTTCTTTAAGTCATTGTTCCACTAACAAAATTGTAAAGGACCAGAAATCAATACTAAAGCAGGCGTTATGTTAGGTCCTGCCTCACAGCCAGAAAGCTATTTGCATTTTTAAACCCAATGTGGTGCTATTTCATCCATTATCACAACATCCAAGGAGGAGGTGGCTGAAAATGAACTGTTGTAGGAGCACCACAGTCCACTGACTCAACATGCGTATACACAGCCACGGTGAGAAATCATCCATT